GGATTTTTACCAAAAACTAATCAAATCAGCGCATATGTTCAGAGCATCTATGTACCAAGTTTCATCAAAATCCAATGAGTGGTTCTTTAGATATCAGTGGAACAATCATGGGACAGCTAAAAATCAGCTAATTATCATGCAAATTAGGTAATTAATATGCACGGATTTTTACCAAAAACTAATCAAATCTACGCATATGTTCAGAGCATCTATGTACCAAGTTTCATCAAAATCCAATGAGTAGTTCTTTAGATATCAGTGGAACAGTCATAGAATAGCTAAAAATCAGCTAATTATCATGCAAATTAGGTAATTAACGAGCATGGATTTTTACCAAAACCTAATCAAATCTGCGCATTGGCCCAGAGCATCTATGCACCAAGTTTCATCAAAAACCCATGTATGGTTCTTGAGATAGCAGTGGAACAGTCGGACACACATACACACATACACACATACACACACACACCCACACACACAGACACACTAACTGCAAAGACTCCCATTATGTGCTTCGCACATGGGAGTCAAAAATGGCTGCCAATATTTACTCTAAAATATGATTGCTGTAATTGAGAATAAATAACATGAATCATAAAGTAAATATTTCAGTTATACGTGGACAAACATAAACATCAAGACATAATCTATTAGGCTACTTTTCAGACCATCACAAAAACTAAATATAAAACACACCTTTAGAGTTACGTTCCTGTTGTGACTGTCATGCATAAATACTCGCAATATTTGTGGTACAAGCTGTGGTAGATAGACTTTAAACTCGCCACCCAATGCTACAACTATTTGTTCCACTAATAGTATAATAGTATTCTGCATTGGACTGTCCAGGGTCCAGTATTCCTACAAAGTATAATATGAGATTAGTATGCATAGTATTATATAAACAAAGATGTAGAAGTGGTTACTGTAAGAATGAGAAACCCAAAAAACTTACTTTGATAATTGCAAAGATGTCATCTAAGTAATTCCTGATGTGTTGTTTTACAATAGAAATGATGAAACCCAACTGTTGGAATAAAAACTGAAAAAGAAATAAAACACATGCAGTGTCACATTATTTTATTCAATACAAAAACAATGAGAAACTGTAATAAAAAACTTTGAAATGACCAGAGGATATTTCCCACATACCTCTCGTATTGCCGGATCACATGTCCGGATAACATTCAGGAATGTCGGCATTATTTGCGGTAAAAACTGGACACATTTTATACCCATACTCTTGAAAATGAACATTATCGCCTGGACAACCATACTGTGGTAACTGGAAAGAGATGGATCTCGCATAATACGCATCAGTGTTGCCACAGCAACAGCAGGATAAAATTCTTCTAGTGGACCACTTCCCATATTAACCAACATTTCACTAGTAGTGTATTCTCCTGTTGAAAGAACAACCCTTCATTGAGACATGTAAGCTTTTAGAAAATACTTCCCAACTTTGGTAAATTTTGACAAGATGCCATAGCTGCCGAGCTAAATGATGTGTTGGGCTTTATTTTCACTTATTTTGCAGATAGCTAATTAGTACAAATTAAAACAAAACGATTATTTAAATTTAACAATAAAATGTATTGTTTCTTTCACAAACTAGTGTATTTAAATTAAAATATAGTGAATATCCATGCAACACCAAGTCCATTAAAATTGAAACCATTTAATATTTTTCTTTTTACAGTACTGTACTACATGCTAATTTAATAAATTCCATCACAACAGTTTACATATCAGATTAGAATCCTTTTGAATTGAGTCCTGCAACACATGTTTAAATTTTGTGTAAACAGTCAATGTATTTCAACGCATTGTATGCATGCTGTAGACTCTTATTAAACAGACATGCCATGGTAACCACACTTAGAAACAGCAGAAATAAAATTTGTGGTTTACAATTAACACTTTCATTAGTGTTGTCACACATTTTCAGTGTTACACACAGTACCAGGTAAAATTGCACCACAAAATGTCCAATGTAGTATTTTATCAGAATTTGTAATGATTTTATTTTACTTCCCATTTAACACTGATTACTGTAATATAGTCTTACCTCCAGCCTCCTGTGTTCCCGTTGTATCAGGCATACTGACCATAGCGCCTGTGTCATACCTATCTGGGTGAGTTGAATTGACTTTATGTTTATACGGATCTAGCGCTCCCAGTAATCCTAACACTCGGATTGTCTGGAGAAAATTAATAACACAGAGTTAAAAATACTAAAAATACAAAATGGTTGTCCACATAATAATATAGTTGTCCAAACAAACTATTAGACTAGTAAATGATAAAAAATGCAGTTTTCTCAGCAAAATTGTAGGCTTTATGGTAATACACTGAACTATAATTTTATTTCTATATTTTGGTTATCTGTAACATCATGTCAGAAATATAGAGGGCGCTATTTTTATTTACTTTTTGATTCATAACGAGATAAATTAAAAACTTCATAATCAACAAAATTGGTTTCCTTTACCTCTCTCCTTATGTTAGTAGACTGCTCAGTTTTCAAAAAGTTGAGCAAAACTTCCAACAGCATTGGGTATTTTTTGTATGGCTCCACAACATATCCGGTGTTTTCAACTAGCTGCCCAAGAGTCCAGAGAGCCACTTCCCTCTTAGCCAATGAGGAAGAGTCTTGTAACATATCAAGAATGATGGGTAAAAGGTCATCCATCCATTTACGCATTTCAACCCCGCTCACCTACAAAACAAATTATGTAAATAGTAAGTTACCTCTCTCATGGCCAGACAATAGTAAGCTACCTCTCTCATGGCCAGACAATAGTAAGTTACCCCTCTCATGGCCAGACAATAGTAAGTTACCTCTCTCATGCCCAGACAATAGTAAGTTACCCCTCTCGTGCCCAGACAATATATTAAGTTACCCCTCTCATGGCCAAACAATAGTAAAGTACCTCTCTCATGCCCAGACAATATAGTAAGTTACCCCTCTCATGGCCAAACAATAGTAAGTTACCACACTCATGGCAAGGCAATAGTAAGTTACCTCTCTCATGGCCAAACAATAGTAAGTTACCTCTCTCATGGCCAAACAATAGTAAGTTACCCCTCTCATGGCCAAACAATAGTAAAGTACCTCTCTCATGCCCAGACAATATAGTAAGTTACCCCTCTCATGGCCAAACAATAGTAAGTTACCACACTCATGGCAAGGCAATAGTAAGTTACCTCTCTCATGGCCAAACAATAGTAAGTTACCTCTCTCATGGCCAAACAATAGTAAGTTACCTCTCTAAAAATTTCTGCCAATCAGCCATCTTGAACCAGATCATGAAATATGTGCATGTGCTCGATATAAAGCTGATGTATGTGTGAAATTTGAACTTGATCAGTCCAAACGTGAGTTAGTTATGGCTGGATATGAATGACTGCACTCACACACAGTGGTCAATCAATATGTCCAAATGAATAGTGCATATATGCATGACGTCTTTGAAGCAATCAGTCAAAGACACATAAATAGACACATAAAATCAAAGCAATCACAGAGAAAGATCCTTTGCAGAAACAAAATACTGAAGTAAAAGATACATAAAAGTCAGTCACTGAAAAAAAAATGAAATAAAATATTCAAAGCATTCTCAACCATGAAGTAAATATACTCCTACCTGTGCTTGTTCACCAATAGCAGCCAATACACTGATCACAACATCTGGGTTGGGATCAGGTTCTTTTAATTTGGGAATTAATGCCTGAAAACAAAAATAAAATTTGACACAAAGTGTACATGTATTGTACTAAAAGAGTTTAAATAATTACAGTAAACGGACCCCATCATGGGTTCCATGTGACATATACAATGTGTATAAAATAATTTTTGGAAAACAAAATTTTGATTTGTGCTACCATGACTACTATGGCATTTTAATAAACTGCGTAATTATTAATTATTATGAACCAAAATCCTTATACATGAAGATATTATGGTAATAATATTCCAACCTTAACAATTGGTTCCATATATGGGCGTATCAACCGTGGTGCATTCGATACAAGATGTCCTAACATGCGAGCACTCTGTTCTTTATTTCTACCAACACCACTATGTTCCAACTCTGTTAGTATCTACAAATAAAAGACATACCATCAGTAATAACATTTTCAACAGCATAATTCTTTCTGCTGAAATATTCTTGAAACATATTAAACATATTTATGTGCTTCTTTCATATCTTTGTTAATTTTGGACAAAATAAACAAAAAAGTATCAAAATTATACACATGTTTATTTTGTTCGAAATATGACAAAAATTGACTTTTGTGTGGCGGTCAAAATCTCAAATAGGTGAAATAGGTCTAACCGTGGCAAATATATTTCGGTAATTGCTAATTTTGGTAATCTAGGTTATGGCAATTAAAAAAAAAAATATTTTGAAATTGAAATCAAGTGAATGGTGTATATTAGTAGATCATTTAATATGGGAGGTGGTTAAATTATTACCAAAAAATTTAAATTATTTTATTTGAGATGCTGAAACAAAATTTTATCCAAATGTGAAACATAGAAAATAAAACTCTGAAAGACACAATGAAGTGAACTAGTTGAAATATTGTATAAACAGATAAATTAGGGACGATGTCAACAGATCGATATTGGATAAAAAACTTATTTGCTTTAGTTTAGGGGGGGTTGACCTCAAAAAGATTCCGTCCTACAAAAACGATTTTATTTTTTAATGAAGTCAAAAAAATCCTGGAGTATTTGTTGTTGTTTTTTTATCCAATCATGGACAAAAATAACAGAAAATGAAAAAAACACACATCAAAGACGAGAAAATGGTTTGTGCATCAAATGAGGCCAATTTCAGGGCATGGACCTAGAGCATGCGCATAACTCAGAAAAGTAGTTTGCGCATGCGTATATTCCCCTTCATTATTACAACCAACTGCTATGCCATACTACTGTCCGATTATCAATTTGCATTTAATGGTGAATGTAGTCTGACGCCATGATCAATATATATCAATTAAGTTTCAGTGTGGGGTGGGGGGGGGTGGTTGGCGAAAAAACTAAGGAATTAAGTTTTTTATCCTACATTGAACTTTTGATGTTGTCCCTTAAGTTGTCCGACTCTTAGAAAATTTAACCCTTTCACTACCAGTTCCCTCTTTTCATCACAAATTCACAAAATAATCTAGTTTATAGTTTGCCCTTTCCTTCAGAAGATTGGGACAAAAATAATCACATTTTTTGAGAAACAATTTTTGAGTAAAATTTTGTCTGTTGGCTCTAAAATAAGAGTTCATTTCAAGAAATATTGAGAATACAAGAAAATTTGAGTGAGAAATTCTGGTGGTGAAAAGATTAAATCTTTGTGTGTGAGTAAAACAAGCATGTGAGTAAAACAAGCATGTGTGTGAGTAAAACAAGCATGTGTGTGAGTAAAACAAGCATGTGTAGCCATATTTCCATACAAAAAACCAGTGTACACTTTACCTGAATAAGTGTTTTCCGTAACGCAGGCATAACAAATGCTGGATTGAGATTACTGAGTCGACCAATCATACACATAGCAAGTTCTCGGATTTCAAATACTTCATCATTCAATGCTACAAACAAAGCACTCAGATTCTCTGCTTGTGCAAGGTGAGCATCAAATCGTTCATCTAGTGATGCTAAGACACAGTAACGAATATCAGGATCTGAAATGATAGTCAAAAAAATGAGAAATATTAGTTTGATATCTGAAATTATGTCAAAGTGTATATCATTCTTTATATGCCCATATTAGTCCTGTTTCTTCTTAACACCATATCTGGCAACTATGCAAATTAAGACTCATCACACATCAATTAAATAATTGTTTACAATATTAAGGTTTGCACTCTGAAGTGCAGTTAGAATTAACCAAAATGGAATGAAGATACAAGTCTATGTAATGAACAGTTCTGCAACATGTTAGCAACGTTTGGCTACATACTACATGGATGGGATACTAGGGATGTTTTGAAAAAAATGCTCATTCATTACATTTGTATGTCTAGGAATCTTGAAGATTCAGGCTCCTGGGAGATATAGGCATCTTGAAGATTCAGACACCTGGGAGATGCAAGCACCAAGGAGATGAAAGCACCTGAAAGATTCAGGCTCCTGGAAGATACAGGCACCTGAAAGATTCAGGCTCCTGGGAGATACAGGCATCTGAAAGATTCAGGCATCTGAAAGATTCAGGCTCCTGGGAGATACAGGCATCTGAAAGATTCAGGCATCTGAAAGATTCAGGCTCCTGGGAGATACAGGCATCTGAAAGATTCAGGCATCTGAAAGATTCAGGCATCTGAAAGATTCAGGTTCCTGGGAGATACGGGCACCTGAAAGATTCAAGCACCTGGGAGATACAGGCATCTGAAAGATTCAGGTTCCTGGGAGATACAGGCATCTGAAAGATTCAGGTTCCTGGGAGATACAGGCATCTGAAAGATTCAGGTTCCTGGGAGATACAGGCATCTGAAAGATTCAGGTTCCTGGGAGATACAGGCATCTGAAAGATTCAGGTTCCTGGGAGATACAGGCACCTGAAAGATTCAGTCTCTTGGGAGATACAGGCACCTGAAAGATTCGGTCTCTTGGGAGATACAGGCATCTGGAAGATTCAGGTTCCTGGGAGATACAGGCATCTGGAAGATTCAGGTTCCTGGGAGATACAGGCATCTGAAAGATTCAGTCTCCTGGGAGATACAGGCATCTGAAAGATTCAGGCTCTTGGGAGATACAGGCATCTGAAATATTCAGGCTCCTGGGAAATACGGGCACCTGAAAGATTCAGTCTCTTGGGAGATACAGGCATCTGAAAGATTCAGGCTCCTGGGAGATACAGACATCTGAAAGATTCAGGTTCCTGGGAGATACAGGCATCTGAAAGATTCAGGTTCCTGGGAGATACAGGCATCTGAAAGATTCAGGTTCCTGGGAGATACAGGCACCTGAAAGATTCAAGCTCCTGGGAGATACAGGCATCTGAAAGATTCAGGTTCCTGGGAGATACAGGCATCTGAAAGATTCAGGTTCCTGGGAGATACAGGCATCTGAAAGATTCAGGTTCCTGTGAGATACAGGCATCTGAAAGATTCAGGTTCCTGGGAGATACAGGCATCTGAAAGATTCAGGTTCCTGGGAGATACGGGCATCTGAAAGATTCAGGTTCCTGGGAGATACTGGCACCTGAAAGATTCAAGCTCCTGGGAGATACAGGCATCTGAAAGATTCAGGTTCCTGGGAGATACAGGCATCTGAAAAATTCAGGTTCCTGGGAGATACAGACATCTGAAAGATTCAGGTTCCTGGGAGATACAGGCATCTGAAAGATTCAGGTTCCTGGGAGATACAGGCATCTGAAAGATTCAGGTTCCTGGGAGATACAGGCATCTGAAAGATTCAGGTTCCTGGGAGATACAGGCACCTGAAAGATTCAGTCTCTTGGGAGATACAGGCACCTGAAAGATTCAGTTTCTTGGGAGATACAGGCACCTGAAAGATTCAGTCACTTGGGAGATACAGGCATCTGGAAGATTCAGGTTCCTGAGAGATACAGGCATCTGGAAGATTCAGGTTCCTGGGAGATACAGGCATCTGAAAGATTCAGTCTCCTGGGAGATACAGGCATCTGAAAGATTCAGTCTCCTGGGAGATACGGACATCTGAAAGATTCAGGCTCTTGGGAGATACGGGCATCTGAAATATTCAGGCTCCTGGGAGATACGGGCACCTGAAAGATTCAGTCTCTTGGGAGATACAGGCATCTGAAAGATTCAGGCTCCTGGGAGATACAGGCATCTGAAAGATTCAGGCTCCTGGGAGATACAGGCACCTGAAAGATTCAGGCTCCTGGGAGATACAGGCACCTGAATGATTCAGTCTCTTGGGAGATACAGGCACCTGAAAGATTCAGTCTCCTGGGAGATACAGGCACCTGGAAGATTCAGTCTCCTGGGAGATACAGGCATCTGGAAGATTCAGTCTCCTGGGAGATACAGGCATCTGGAAGATTCAGTCTCCTGGGAGATACAGGCATCTGAAATATTCAAGCTCCTGGAAGATACAGGCACCTGAAAGATTCAGGCTCCTGGGAGATACAGGCATCTGAAAGATTCAGGCTCCTGGGAGATACAGGCATCTGAAAGATTCAGGTTCCTGGGAGATACAGGCATCTGAAAGATTCAGGTTCCTGGGAGATACGGGCATCTGAAAGATTCAGGTTCATGGGAGATACAGGCATCTGAAAGATTCAGGTTCCTGGGAGATACATGCACCTGAAAGATTCAGTCTCTTGGGAGATACAGGCACCTGAAAGATTCAGTCTCTTGGGAGATACAGGCATCTGGAAGATTCAGGTTCCTGGGAGATACAGGCATCTGAAAGATTCAGTCTCCTGGGAGATACAGGCATCTGAAAGATTCAGGCTCCTGGGAGATACGGGCATCTGAAAGATTCAGTCTCTTGGGAGATACAGGCATCTGGAAGATTCAGGTTCCTGGGAGATACAGGCATCTGAAAGATTCAGTCTCTTGGGAGATAAAGGCATCTGAAAGATTCAGGCTCCTGGGAGATACAGGCATCTGAAAGATTCAGGCTCCTGGGAGATACAGGCATCTGAAAGATTCAGGCACCTGGGAGATACATGCATCTGAAAGATTCAGTCTCCTGGGGGATACAGGCATCTGAAAGATTCAGTCTCCTCATGTATGTAAATGTGTCGAAATGGGCGTAGTGCGAGTGGTTAGTGCTAGTAGCACTAATCCGAAAAAGTACTAGATCTAGTGCTAAAATGGCACTAGATCTAGCGCTAAAATGGCACTAGATCTAGTGCTAAAATGTGCACAGTGCGAGTGGCATTGTTATCGCATTGTCAACAACGTCGAATAATAGGAGGGGCATCAACAACCACTTTCATATGCAAACTGCAAACAGTATAAAACATTGGCAATATGCGTGAGATGGGGATTTCACGGCTGATGTGCGCTTATTTGGGGTTCAAAATTTAAAATAATAATTATCAAATATTTTGGAGGGACATTTTCATTGTATCCAACTACACAGACTTTCTACGCCGTGAGTTGGGCCACCCAAGACGAAAGAAACTATTGCAGAATTAACAATAATTAATAATTATTGCTGAATTAAAAAGTAGACCACCTGAAATGTCATTAAAGTGTCGCCGAGTGTCATTTTTCAAATACATTTGTTTTTATTTTATTGGTAACAAAAGTATATTTTAAACGACGTTTCTAATAAAAACGAACACAACTGCATTAACAATCCCGGCAAGCGATCACAGATGCTCAATCCGGACATGCTACGTTTCACAAACGTTGATTATTAGTCAGTAGTGATTATAATAACGCAAAAAAAAAAAAAATCGAATAATTTTTATGAAATTCAAATAAA